TCCTTGAGGACCATCAAGTGGTACAAGATTATGGAAGATCTTGCACTGCTAGTTGGAATCTTTAAGAAGGTCCAACTAGTTGTGACTGATGGTCTGACCAAGGAGCTATGTATTGGAGCTCACCTCGTAGCCAAACAGGTGATAAGGCTAAGGAAGAAATCCGGACCCTTGTTTGCTGCTCTTTATCTAAAACAAGCAGCAGTCTGCTTACAGAAAGCATATATATGCAGGGGTCCCTCAACCTAAGGGATTCTTACCTGTGCCAGTTTCCTTAACCGGCTCTGGTTTACCGCGGATTATACCATCCTTTCACAGGAAATTCATCCTCAAAAGGGATGGTCGTGCTGATGTGTTAGTAAAGATATCTTTTTCTTACTTTTCCTTGTGTCGAGTTGGAATAATTAATATATAGGCTTGCAAAGAAGGTTGATCACTCGATTCTAAGGTCTATCACATCACCATTTAAGGACTATGACAAAATGGAATCTTTTATTGACGATTTCATGAGTCATGTCCCTAAACTGATCTCGCGGTACTGGAAGAGTGCGCTAACCATCCCTATGTGTCAAGGGATTACATGGGAACCCACTTGGAAGGCTATACCTTCTGATAGAGGGAAAGCGCGAAAGGATAAGAAAGGGATCGATCTTTCTCAATATAAAAAGTGAAATAGAGTGGTTCCTTGCCTATGAACTGCATTTTGTATCTAACGATATAGATGCAGATCCTATAGGTTTCGGTTACCCTCTCTGGTCACCTTTCATTCGATATGCCCTAGACCCAGGAAAGAGAGATATATCTCTTTGGTCAATGAGGGATTCTTACCCTCTTTGCCAATCCCAGGTCGAAGAAAAGAGGGTATACGGAATCCCTAGCTTTGGCTCTCCCGGGAGACTAGCCCAGTCCACCGATTCAGGTCCTGCTAAAGTGTTTGTAAGCCAAATCAACAGAGTACTCCAGCTTCAACTTACCAAATTCACTCAATGAAACCTCTTACTCAGGTAGAGGACTTCCTAGAACAGCCGAGTCAGTATCAGTATAGTAACAGTCTTCCCTGTAAATGCATATGAATACGAGCACAAGCAGTAATAGCAGCCGACATTTGAACAGCTGATATCTTAAGTGGATTCCACTCAATATCTTCAACAGAAGAAGTCTTTATTTTATAATAAGTAATGATCGCCAAGAGGGTTAATATCTAACAAATCTTTCTTCCTTACCAAATCTTCATATATAGTGCATATCTCAGTTATTCTACTTTCAGGATTAATACCTAATCTACCGTAGAGCGAGTTCATAAGAGTCTTGTATACTATACATAAGACATAGCTTCATCACCTCTTAGCTTCTTGTCTACTTGCGTAGAGTGATGAGATTAAATTTTCGAAAGGACTAGAACACTTCTCAAACAAGAATCCCCTTATTGGTATAACCTTGTAACCTGTGCATACTTCAGCTCTTCGCTATAATAGACCCCTTAAAATTAACCTATTGGGAATAGTAAACTTCCATCCCCTTCTTTATGGTAAGAAAGGTCCAGTAATACTGGATGGTACCCGAACATAAGCCTCAATAAATCCAAACAAATTATCCAAATCTTCACCTTCCAAATCCCTTTTCAAGACAGCTTTGGAAATCATGATATATGGGTATAAAGAGTTTACATCATAGTTTCTCCATATGGTGCATCAGCATGACCTACATAGTACCCACGCCGAATAAAATTATCTTCGTTCCTAACTGGAATATAGATAGGAGAATTGTTATAATCGTAATAGCACATACGAAAGATTTTAAGAGAAAGTGCCGTTAATGTCAATGTATCTACAATATATTTAGTTTAGTTCAATATATATATTTCTTGAGCCTTCTGCATAACACCACCTAACAAAATAAAATAATATCCTGTTTCAAATATGAATATAATATTAATCTTTCTTAGAAAGATGATTCCCCCCACTCACTTTATCATGATCTCCTTTACTTTACCACCTAAGTGTGGGCATAATTTATTACCCAATACAGATGACTTATAAAAGTGGTTGACCGACCTGTACTGTAGGGCTTGACCCCCGTCCTCCTCTCCAACTATGACATTCGTCTAAAGCGCACCGTATGTTGGCGAGGTTCCCCTGATCGAGCAAATGGAGAAGCAGAGGAATAGGTTTCGGACGACTGACTAGTGATGATTGTTCAGAGACGGCTAGTTCTTCTTATTCAACAAGTTACGAATATTGATTGTCGGGGCACACATAAGAGATTTTAGGGTCTTCTCCGTGGCATCCGGAAACAGGTACCCGTCTACTGGAAAGGACAGTTTCCCATACAACATTGGGTGAATAGTGGAATCCACTGATGAGTATTCCACTTTTAGGGATAATACGATGATAGTTGACCACAAGTCTTTCTGTTGGGCACGGTCTCATAGTTAGGAGACTACCTAGGAGGTAGTAAGTGGTTGGGCTATGGTACGGCGACTGCTTGAAAAGAGAGACTAGCCACTAAGCCTAAGCCACGGCTTAAACAACAGCCGGGTCGAATCAATCAAACGAGCCACAGACTCTTCTAAGCCGAGACCCCTTCTTGGGAAAGCAATGGTTTTACATTAATATTAAAATAAAAGCGAGAAGAGACCCACAGACTGGGTTCTTCAAGTTCAAGGGAAGAGGCCGACTACGCTAACTGGAAATGCAATGTCAGACTTCGTTCTTTTTTGCTCTCTAGAGCTTTCTCATGCGTTTTCTGGACATCATGTGGAAAATTTTCCATATTAATGGTTAAACGTTCTTTAAAAAGTAAGAAAATCGCAGTCTGCGTCTCGTGTAAGGATAGAAGAAAGTCTCATACACTCTTCCTATCGTTTGTGCCCCCATCCCCATGGGTCACTTCACTCCTGGTTTAACATAAGCTAAAGGTTAAGGAATAGCCTCTTATCGATGCAGATATCATGATATAGATTAGATTCCATTCTTTTAGAGTTAGATATAGGGTATACCCAGTATTGAACTATTCATTAAGGGCCTCCTACTAATAGAACAACTGAGTTAGAACACAACTAAGAACATCTACTACTACTGGGCTCGCAGATAGGTTAGAGCGGATACGGGTCCTTGTCTCCATTCCTTGGGCAGGAATGGCTGACGCCTTAAGACAACAGATAACAGCAGCAAGCAAGACCAGAGAGCTACACTGGCTAGCTACACCTTCTACTAGCTTTCTAGTTAGATATTCCTCTTCTAGTAACAACCGGAGAAAGAAAGAACAAAGAGGCAACTGCCGAATCCCGTGCATATAATAGGGAGCCCCCATTAACAGTGTTACAAGAAAGAGAAAGAGAACAACAGCAACTCAACTCCTCTAGTTACCCAGACTGATAGGACTGGCAAGAGAGAAGAAAGCAGCTACTCTATTCCTTATACAGGTGTCCCTACCATACCGGACATACAGAAGGAAAGACAGGAAGCCAAATCATCGCGGGTAAAATAAAAGCATTGGATAGCAAGTCCTTCTTTTTCCGCGTGGATCAATACTCGACTTTTATACAAACAAATAACATAGATCAATAGAATACCCATTCACAGGCACGACTTCCTATTAGTCGGCTTACTTTTCATAATTGCTGAACTTGCTCTTCTCCTTAATAGCTGGCTGGGATTCCCCAAAAGAAAGGAAAAGCGGAGCAAGGAAGGTCAATATCGTAATTACATCTTCCTAAAAGAAAAGGATTTGCGTAAAAAGATTTCAACCACAACGGGAAGCAAGGCAGCCTTTAGCTACCTGGGTTACCGACCAGAACATTCAAAAGTGTAATCTGCCTTCTTAACTTTAGGGTTTTAAGTTTTATACTTTCTCGTTCATGGGTCTCATGGGCCCCGTGAATGCGAGAATTTCCTTAACCGTTATTATTTGGATAATACTTGGCGAACGCGGGAATTTTCGATCAGGTCCCGACCGACCAGACCCATATTGAGGGACTGGTCGGGTATTGGCTGAGCGAGGTCTTAAAGGCGAGGGGAATCGGAATGGGGCCGATGTGGTTCACGCAAAAAAGCCAACTCGAACATAGACCGAGTGACCAAAGGGGAGGGGGGTCGGCCGAGGTCGTAGTCGGCCTATCCCATAGTCGGCCCATCGCCAGGGAGAGGGTAAGGTCGGATCCCGATCAGCCTGTGAAGGTAAACAGATCGGAAATCGGCCGAGACGGTACACTTGCCTTCTAGTCTTGAGCCTATGAGGCGAAAAGGCTAAAGCAACTGTCCCTTTTAACGACATCGGAAATAAACCGAGAGTATGTGTCGGGAATAAACTAAGAAGGTACACTTGCCTTCCAGCCTTGAGCCTATGAGGCGAAAAGGCTAAAACAACTGTCCCTTTTAACGACATCGGAAATAGGCCAAGAGTATGTGTCGGGAATAAACCGAGAAGGTACACTTGGCTTCCAGCCTTGAGCCTATGAGGCGAAAAGGCTAAAGCAACTGTCCCTTTTAACGATATCGGAAATAGGCCGAGAGTATGTGTCGGATATCATATTATAAAATTAATATTTATTTTAATAATTATTTTTCTAATCTACAATTTGACAGATGATTATATCATTTAATTATTTTCAATAATTATAATTCTCTCCCTCAACTCATACTGTCAAAAAGGAGAAAAAAAAAAGCCACTCCACAATCATGGTGAAATAGGTTTTCTTTCCATGCATATCTTCTCCTTCGTTTTCTTTTCTTTTAATTCTTTCTATTCGATCAATTTTTTTTTTAAGAATTACTCACTTTCCTTTTTTTATTTTTAATTTTTCAAGTAAAATAAGCTACGACATGAAGTGTCTTTTTTCTATTATTAAAAACAATAAATTGGTTGCAACTGTAAAAAAAAAAAAAAAAATAGTTGCACTTTGACCTAACATAATTTATCTTCCACTAATTCCGAATCCAACGTTTCAAACACATGTTAAAGAAAGTTTCAATGAGCAGATCTGATGCCACTTTCGCAAACGCGTTGGCGTGATCTAAACGACGAGTGACTGTCGACGAAGCACCCCAAACGCCACTGCGTTTTTGGTCGGTGGTGCGTCCGTAACCTTCACCACTAAGCAACCAAACAAACCATAAATAAATAAATAAAATTAAATCACCTTTCATTCTCTCTTCTCATAAAACCCCATTTCCCCAACCCAAGTCAAATTCTCAAGTCTCAACCCAATTCACAACCCTCTCATTCTCTCTCTAAAACCAATCCCCTCCTTTCTCTCTCTAAGCTGTTACAACCATGGCCTCCACCGCCCCTCCCATTCTCCCCATCTCCAACGCCCAACCCGCCGGTGCCGCCTCGGCCACCGCCGTGGCAGGGGGGGAAGC